CAAAGTCAACTTTTTGGGTGTGTTTATAAATGAGTTTTGAGTGTGTGTAATGATGGGTTTTGGGTGTGTTTATATGTTTAAATAGTGCTTGGGTTTTTTTATAATTTCAACCCCCATTTTGGGTGTTTTAGTGAAACTCCCATATAAATATCCAAGCTAGAAAGATGAAAGGACAGCTAGAACTCCATTTCTGCCTGGATAGGAGGTTCTGATTTGGGCTGGACTGCAAATATCTGGGCTGGACTGGGCTATTAACAACTTCAGCTGCTAAGCTTCAGCTGTAGATCGATACCGAAGGTTAATTTTGGCAGAGCTTTAATACATTTCAAGCTTTTGTGAGGCTTCTGAGTGGGCAGAACTGCGGCTTCTTCAGTCTGTAAGGGCAGAAGTGGCTGTTCTCGAGGACTTCAGTGGGCTAGAGACTGCACTGTAAAATTTGTTGAGGTTTTCATGTTTGGGAAAAGCTCAAGCTCTACCTGTCTTGGTTTTTTGCTAAACCAAATTTGTAACGAGAGAAATCTCGTTTTGAATGACTTATTTTCTAAGTCTGAACCTTGGGAATTCTAATCTAAAGCTGGTTTTCACTTGGAATTCAAGTGAGCTTTTGGTTGATTTTGAGTTGTTTGTTTGATTGATGACTTGAGTGTTGGATTGATTGTCCTCTGCCTTGTTCACTCCTTCTTGTATTTATAAGAAATGTTATCTGGAGTGGGGTAGTAATTCTTTTTAATAATGGGCGGCAAATCTTTCAAAAGATACAAGAAATACAATAATTCAATCCTGGCACTCAACTGTCAATTCTTAAGATCACTTCCCTGTTTCTTTTGAAAGAAAACCCAATATTTTTCCTTAATTCTAGTTGCCCCTTGTGAGAGTTTATGGACTGTGATGGCTCGTTTTGATTTCTTTGAACAAAATCCCTGCTTTCCTGCCTATCTCTTTTCAAGTTTATAGTCTTCTTATCTCTCGGGAGAATCACTTATAGAAGAAATATCTCTGAAATATATTAATATGTAAGGGGATTTGATCTTTCTGAATTTTAGAGATGTCCCTTCCTAGTTTTTGCCAGCTACTGACCCTTCCATTTATCAACTCTGTGGCAGTTGATTTTTTTGACTTTTCAAAGTATGAGAAAAGAACTTCACGTGGGGTTTCTTCTAAAAGTATTTCTTTCCAGAATTTTGTTTCTTTTGGGCCCTTTTTGAGAGATGGTAATGATCTAGGCCCAGCCCGATTTCTTCTCTCTTTGATTTGTCTAGAATGAATTTTGCCCCTCTTTTGTGTATTTTTACATTTCTGCCATCCTTTTGAAAAAACGTGGGCTGGGTTCTTTTCCTGTTTGATTTTTGAAACCCAGGTCCTTTGCTCTACGGGCTTTCTGAGAAGTGGGCCTGTGTGTTTTTGCTTTTGGCCCAAACACATACATACTTCAGACTTAGAGAAAACTTGGAAGATGTAAAGTTATAGTGAATATCTTTGAATATTGTAAATAAATATTCAAGTAAAAAGAAATTTTTACAGCAAAATTTAATGGTTTATACATGCACCGATCCAAGATATAAAGATTTAATGGTGTGATAGAAGGGGATGCCAGGGGTGTGATTCAAGCAGTCTTTCATCTTGTTTTTGCCAGGGGAAAGATCTTCCCCACCAATCTCTCTCTCTCTCTCTCTATCTGCCCCCAAACTTCTTTGCCAACACAACCCAACACCCAACCTTCTTCGCTGCAGCAAGTGGTTGGGGAGAGGTGGGAGGAGGGTGGAGAAAGAGAGGGGGGAGGGGTTGCTGGAATTTTTTTTAAAACTATAGCATAAAAAATTTTATTTTTTAATATTTAATATTTTATTTGAATTTCGACCAAAAAAATATTTTATTTGAATTTTAAAACTTTTAAATGCTAAAATTACTAAAAAGCCCTTGCCAAATCATCAAGTTAACAGTCTTAGGGACTAAATTAAAGGAATGGGGGAACGGGGGACGCGGAATTAAAACGCAAGGTGCATAATGACCCAATTTGAATTGTAGGGGGTGAAGTGGGATTTTCGATAAAGCACAGGGGGCACATCGATAATTTAGCCCTTATTAAATGATGCAAGGGAAAAATCGTGGAAATTGAGGCGTCGTTTCGCAATTTCTATTGAGCATGAATTCATTTTTCACTGTAATTTCTGTCATTTACAAAATTTGACATACATAAATCAAAACATTGAAACCATCAATTGCGAGAAATTTAAACGATGGAGATTTAAATTCCATAATTTAAGAATTCTATATAATTTTTAATTGTTTCATCCAAACAAAGGGTTATATTATAATAATAAAATTTTAAAATTGTAACAGTAAAGTAAAACTAGAGAAACAAATAATAGGTGTTGAGCAATTTGGCAAGTGTACGAATCACACAAGTAGTTTAGAATTAAGTAAATTATCATTCCCAAGAAGAGTGATTTAATTTACTAAGTATCGATTGTGATTAACCCCAAACTTTATTGGAACGATTGAATGATGAGATTTGATTGAATAATTAACTAAAAAATAATAATAAAAGCAAGCATATAAAAATAAGGTTATGAGATTTATGTTATGAGATCACTAGACCTTTCGATTCACCATAGCCAATTCTACATAATTCCCTTAGAAATTTGGTTTTCCTTTTACCGTAGCCAAATGCAAAATCCTTCACTTTCGTTTGGATGAAGGAAAATAAGTCGGGATTTAGTTACAAGTTGAGAATTGGGGAGAAATTGATATTTACATTATTTGGCAACTTAATCGTGGACTTATTAAATGACGTGGAGGAAAATCATGGAAAGTGGGGATTGAGATTCTCATTTAATTTCTTCCAAAAATACGTCATGTCACAATTTCTATTGAGCATGAATATGCTTTTCACTATAATTTATGTCATTTATAAAATTCAACATACGTAAATCAAAACATTGAAACTATTAATTTCTAGACATTTAAATGATGGAGATTTAAATTCCATCATTTAAGAATTCTATACAATTTTCAATTGCTTCATCCAAACGGAAGGTTATATTATAATAATAAATTAGGGTAAGAAGGGAAACAAATAATAGGCAAATAAAAGTAAAATAAATTATGAGTAAGAAAGCACTACGCATGGCAAAGTCGTTGTCCTAAAATCTTTGTAGCCTCCCTACGTGCTGGTACTGATGGTCTAATATGACCCCCAATACACAGGCTCAAGGTCCTCTAAGCACGTTTACATAATCGTTGTCCAAAAATAATAATTGAAAGTAGATAAAAAGTATGAAACTAGGAGAAGAAAGAATCAGGTTGTGGTGCGCGGTGACTATAATGAGGGGTAAGTTATAAGGGGTTCACTTTATAGTCATTGGATCAATCCAAGGGCTGGGGAGAATTGGGATAAAGTTGTGCAATCGGGTAGGTGAGGAACCCAAACCCGAATTTAATATCCAGCAATGAAGTTGGTCCCAA